GGCAGCAGCCTCTTATCAGTTACCCACAAAATCCAGACGGGCAAGAACAATAGAAATCTAACGAGGTCAGGTAATAAAAGAGAGAATAACAAACCAAAGAAAAGCTTCCCAGAGCAGATCATGAAATTGCTAGATATGACCGAAGCAGAGTAACCACAAAATGCAAAATCGAACTGCCCGCTAATTGCTAAGAAGTAAACCAGCAAAGCACACCCTGAGAAGCACACAGTGATGGTGTGATCGGAGAGTTGGAAGCTCAAGCCGAGTAGGGCGATAAGAGTCGGAACTGTGAATCGAATGCTTTCGTGAAAGCAAGTCGTCACCGTCTGAATAGAAAGATCCCCCGGAAAGAAGTGTCCTGAAAATATTAGCGATTGAGAAGACATATTGCAAAAAGAAGGAAAAGTGTTTTGGAGCTATAGAGTTGATACATATAACATAATGCAAACTGTATATATAGAGTTATTAGTAAGAAGGATGTTTTCTTCCATATAAGGAAAAGAGTTCAGAAAAAATGGGAGTCCAAAAGAGTTCAGAAAGTTCAGTTGTTTCAATTCAGGCTCATTTTTGTCTACCGCGCGTTAAAGTCAAATGGGCCCCATCTTTACATTTATTTATTACATACGATTTATGAGGCCCTTCTATTGTTCTAAGTAACCCAAAAAGGCCAAAGAGTTCAAATAAACTTACTATCGTTTCTCTGTTCTTCTACTTATTAAACTTGCGAAAATTGCAATTAGTTCAAATCAATTGAGGATTTGTCAATTTTGAGACTCCAAATATGCTTAAGAGATGATTAGTTTGCTTTTTTCAATAATTTTAGTGCTTTGAAATAGTTTTCACATATCTAAATACCAGCCCTGTGTTCTGAAAAATCTGCACCAACCTTGTGTTAATTTTATTGCGTAGAATCTCCTTGTATTTTATTGTATCTTGCATGAAATTTCCCATTCGGTTACCGTTAACTATTTATCAAGTATTTCATAACACAAGGGGGTTTGGTGCATGATTTAAGCAAACATATTTTATTTATTTAAAATTTTAATATATTCAACAAGCAACATAGAAAAAAATTAAAGACTAATGGTAAGGAGGTAAAACAGGGAGAAAATAATTTAATAAATTAAATGTAAAGTTGTTTGATTTAGTGGAAAATGAACCTCAAAAGTGTGTTTTGCAGCTTCTACTGGATTATGGACGCAACTTTTGTGCTTATTTGAGGGACTTCACATTATGTTTGATTTACAGTAGTTTGAAGAAATTCTCCTACATCCGAACTTTCAGATCTTGAACTTTTATTCGTCGTGCTTCCAACATCTT